AAACCTTCAAGTATCTTCCCTACAGTAGAAATTTAATTTAAAGTTCTGTCCTTACTGGATGAAGACCTGAATCCCTTCTTATATATGGACACCGCATCGGCCTTGTGCCAGGTCTTCATAAATTAGAAACAAAACCTTAGATATAACTGAGCTCACCTCTCTGAGGACACATGGGTGTAAGCCATAGACATGTGCGATTCGTTTAGCTGTGAATCGAAATTCGGACAAAATTTTCATTATTCGGGGATGTATCTGAATTTCTGAATCACAATAGTAAGGAATTTCAATAAATCATAATTTTTAACAAAACAAATTATCCGAATCTGAAAGTGAGTTAAAATTTTGAAAATGAATTTTAATTCTTAATGGAAACATATTGCAATAAATAGAGTAAGGTATAAAAGTGTAATAAGATGATGATTCCTACTGAGGCTGCTGAATAGAAGAGAAGAAAATAAAACAGAATAGAATCATACGACGTCCACCCAGAATGGCGAATGTCCAGCTTGCCCGTCATTTTACTATAGGCTGAGCAGGAAGGTGTAATACTAAAGCTGAACTTCAGGCAGATATAAAATAGAATAAAAAATAAAGCAACAGAATAGAATTAAACAAAATATTAAAGAAAAGAATAGAAAATATCCTGCCCTCAGCTAATAATGGAATCTTCTACTCTACCAGTCCATCCCCCACAGTTATTACCTTTTGTACCACTAGCCCCTCCCTCCTAGATTGTAAGCTCCAAGGGGCAGGGCTCTCCTATCCCTCTTGTATTGAACTGTATTGTTGCTGTATTGTCTCCCGTTATATTGTAAAGCGCTGAGCACACTGTTGGCGCCATAAATCTTATATTATAATATTAATAAATATTGAAATAAATACACAGAATAGAATAAAACATAATATAAAAGAAAAAAAAGCAATAGAATAGAAAAATAAAAGAATAGAAAATAAAAAAATAGGAAATAAAAGAATAAAACAGAATAGAATAAAATGCAAAAAAAAATAGAAAATAATGGAATGGAATAGAATAGGAATTAAAAGAATGGAATGGAATGAATATTGAAAATATTCAATATATATATATATATATTGAATGAAAATTTGTATTTTGAATCAATTTGAAAATAACAAATATAAGAAACAAATCCAAATATATAAAACAAATTCAGAAAATGAATCATTCTAACATAACGTATAGAACAGAAATTAAACAGAATAGATGTGAAATAAATGTATAGAATAGAATAAAACAGATATAATAGAAAATAAAGGAATAGAATAGGATAAAAAAAGAATAGAAAATAAAAGAATGATATAAAAGAATAGACTAGAATAAAACAGAATAGAATAAAGCAGAAGAGAATAACATTGAATAGAACATAAAAACAGAGTAGAATAGAATACAAAAATAATAGAAAATAAGGCAATGGAATAGAATAGGAAGTAAAAGAACAGAATAGAATGAATATAGACGTCTTCCATAATTTGAATTTCAAATCAATTTGAAAATACCAAATATATGAAATGAATCCAAATATACAAAACCAATTCCAAAAACGAATCATTCTAACATAACGACTATGACGAAACAAAATTATGAGGGTTCTTCAAAAAGTTGCCGCATTTTTTTAAATTTTTTTAAAACATACAAAAGTGCGGAAACTTTTTCAAGATTCCTCGTATTAACTTAATGAACCGGAAAGAAATGTTTCCATCGCACACATCTCTAGTAAGCCATCTGGGCCAAGTCTTCCCCAGCCGCCCTGTCAGATGGAGAGGAAATGTCTCTGCAATAGAAGAGTCTTTATACCCCGTGTCTCCTCCCTTCCTTCTGCTTCAGTGCTGCAGCCTCCATGAGACTCTTTGATATTGAGCGCTCCTGAGTGCCCCCCGCCGTGCTGTGTGGTTCCTCTCTTCAACCCCGATGTCTCTGCTGAGTCCTGTAGTGACATCGGGGTCAGAGGAAGGAACCATGGCATGTGCCGGCAGACACAGAATCGCACTGTAAATCGCACCAATGTAGGTGCACCATTGGAAGTCGTGTTATTTCCATTGTCCTGCGATTCAGTGCAACCTAATTTGCATTTGAAATCCGTGTGAATGGGCCTTATGATATTGTTTTCCATCACATATTCTTGGATGAGGTCCTTTAGCAAACCTTCAAGTATCTTCCCCAAAGTAGATGTTTAAATGACTTACTGGTGGAAGACCATGATCTCTCTTAAATATGGGGACATCGCATCGGCCTTGTGCCAGGTCTAAATATATTAGAAACAAAACCTTAGATATAACCTTAGATCTGGGCCAAGAGTTTCCAAATCGCCTCGTCAAATTGAGAGGAAATGTCTTTGCAATAGAAGATTCTGCATACCCCGTGTCTCCTCCCTTCCTTCTGCTTCAGTGCTGCAGCCTCCATGAGACTCTTTGATGCTGAGCGCTCCTGAGTGCCCCCCGCCGGGCTGTGTGGTTCCTTCCTTCAACCCCGATGTCTCTGCTGAGTCCTGTAGTGACATCGGGGTCAGAGGAAGGAACCATGGCATGTGCCGGCAGACACAGACATCCCACACTTCTGGAAGAGTTGAATACTGAAGAGTCTGGTGGAGGCTGCAGCACAGGGACGGAGGAAAGGTAGGAGACATGGGCCGCCTGAGAGGGGAGTATGAAGACCATTCCATTGCAGGGATGTCGCTTCTCAATTTTTTTCACCCTGACAAGGTCACCTAAATGACTTTTATTTTGTCTGTTTCTTATACATATTAATGTGAATCCTTTGTGGTGCATTTGTGATCCTCATTTTGTATATCATCTTCACCTCCTCCACCAGTATACACCGAGCTGGAGGAGATATCTTTGTCCTCAGCACAAATATTTCCGCTCTGCGTCCTCTCTGTATAATATAGACACATGGCCACATACCTACAAGGGGTTCTAGGTAGGTAACATTTTGTTGTGTTTATTTTACAGGAGTGCAGTAATAAATGGCCCTACATCAAATGTAAGTTATTCAGTCTCCATGGCGGCCTATAAAGATCAGTTTAGGACCCTTCTCTTAGAGAATGACACCCTGACAGTGGAAGATACTGTCTACATCTCGGGGTTCACACTTAATCTGACTATCAACCCCTTTTATCTCAAAGTGGTGAATATTTATGCCTCTCCAGACCAATCAAGCTCCATCAAGTACTATCTTCTTCAGAATGGGTAAGTACACAGCACACAGGTTAGTAGCTCTGCATGTTCTTTTTACACTTTGACTTCATAAATAATTCATTAAATGCCCAGAACAATATATCCCCCTAACCACTTATGTAGCACTGTGCGTGTATCAATGGCGGATCAGCGGACTTTTATTTACCCAGCGCCATTTATAAACACATGCTGGTGGACACATGCTGGACACGCTTTGGCTGCAGGGAGTGCAGGAGGCTGTCAGGTTGAGGCTCTGAAACGCAGAGCTGCTGCGGGGGATGAGCTGTGTTCGCGCCCCTATAAGGAGCACTGTGACAGCAATCCCACAGACATGCTGACTTTAGCTACTTGTGAGGCAAACTAAATTTACCTAACTATGTACACTAAGGGGTGCTACATTAGTAACAGGCACGGTGAGTTTCTTGAATTTGGCATTTTTTGTCACAATTTTTTTGAAAAATGATTTTTTTCCCCACAAAGTTGTCATTTTAACAAATTATTTCTCACACACAGCATAGGCATACTTAAAGTGACATCCCAAACCACGTTCTGCTACTGCTCCCGAGTACAGAGATACTACATTTTCCGAGCCTAGCCGGACACAGGGGCCCAAAATCTAAGCAGCACCTTCAGGTGTTCTAGGTGCATAAATTACAAATCTACTTTTCAGACTACCTATTACATTTTTGGAAGTCATGAAGCACCAGGACAGTAAAAAAAACCCACAAAATGACCCCATTTTAGAAAGCAAACACTCCTAGGCATTTTCTAAAAGGCATAGTGAGTCTTTTGAAAATTTGATTTTTTTAACACAAGTTTTTGGAAAATGTAAGAAAAAAAAATAAAATGTATTTTTTTATACAAAGTTGTCAATTAATAATATATTTCTAATACAAATCATAACACCCTCAAAACACATTCTGCTACTCCTTCTGAGTATGGGGATACCACATGCGTAAGACTTTTTTTTAGAGTCTAGCCACATACAGAGGTCCAAAATCCAAGGAGCACCTTCAGGCTATCTAGGGTCATAATTTACACATCTAATACTGATCAGGGACATTACAGCTGGTGTGGAGGTGATTATTGACACTTGAACTGACTGATGAGGCAGTGGTCAGGGATACTGGAACTTGTATGGCCATGAACAGGAGCAGTGGGAAGAGTGTGGTGATGATCAGGGACAGTATGACTGATGCTTCAGTGATCATCAGGGATAATATGATTGGTGTGATCAGACACACTGGGACTATTTACGATTGAGCTGGCCCGCCCTTTGCAGGTATAACAGCTTCAACTCTTCTGGGAAGGCTGTCCACAAGGTTTAGGAGGGTATCTATGGTCCAGTGGTGACGTGCTTTACACTACTGCATCCAATGCTTTGCATTGCACTTGGTGATGGAAGGCTTGGATGCAGCTATTCGGCCATGGAAACCCATTCCATGAAGCTCTATACGCACTGTTGTTGTGCTCATCTGAAGGCACACCAAGTTTGGAGGTCTTTAGCTCTTGACTGTGCAGACAGTTGGCGACTTCTGCGCAATGTGCACTTCAGCATGTGCTGACCCCGCTCTGTCATGTGACGTGGCTTACCACTTGGTGGCTGAGTTGCTGTTTGTTTCCAGTTGCTTCCACTTTGTCATAATCCCACTAACAGTTGAGCATGGAATATTTAGTAGCCAGGAAATGTCATGGATGGACTTATTGCCCAGGTGGCCACCTATCACGGGACCACGCTTGGAGTCACTGAGCTCCTGAGAGCGACCCATTCTTTCATCAATAATTGTAGAAGCAGTATGCATGCCTAGGGGCTTGATTGTATACACCTGTGTCCATGGAGGGGATTGGACACCTGAATCACATGATATGGAGGGGATTGGAACACCTGAATCACATGATTGGGAGGGGATTGGAACACCTGAATCACATGATTTGGAGTGCTGGCCTTTTGGAAATATAATGTATATACAGTATATGTGTAAAATGAACAAAATGAATGCATGTCATCTATTGTTCACCTATACATGTATACAGAATATATAATATAATGGATTCATGCCATGTACTGTTCAGCTCTAATATACTTACTGAATATAATACAATGAACGCATGTTCTGTATTGTTCACCTAGAAAGTAATGAATGCAGCCCATATATTGATCAGTTCTATTAGTATGTACCAGTATTGTGTTCTAATCTTTAGATTACAGTAACTGAAAGCTGATGAAAGGTTTCTGTATCCAGGTGCCCAACGAGCGATGTATCTACTGACCAGCTAACAGTGGATAGAAATGGATTCAGCAACGAAACTCGGTTTCCCATGAAAGTCTTCCAGATCGCCAATTCTAACACCACCTATCTCTCTGCTGAATTTGTAATCTGCACTGATGATTGTGCCGTGGTAAGGCTGAACGTACACATAGAGGATGTTCTGTGATTTCTGTGCCTGAAACAGCAATTAGGACTTCCTTAGCCATATAGGCAAACTGTCAGCTGCCCTATTGGCCCACTGGTCCAAGGGCCCCTAAAGCCCCAGGCATTTTCTTGCCCTGGATGGGCTTCCACTAGTCTGAGGGTGCCTGGTTTGGAGGTTAGGAAAAGCCTAGTGAAGTATGTGTAGATGACAGACCAGCTTAGTCTGTTGAATTGATCCCAGGTTCTGATCCCTTTTTGCAGCAAGCAGCCAGGCACAGGGTATTTCCAGCAAGATGCACAAACTATCACTCAGTTCTCAGACAGTAATCAGGCAGATAGTGGTTTTTTTGTTTTATTTGTTCTGTAGAACTGGAATAAGGATTGGGAAATGTTTTGGGATGTCTAAAACTAAATAACTTGAATGAGGACACTATCTTGAAGTAGTTAATCAAAGTAACACAGAATGTATCTGTAACACACAGCTTTTAGCACAGGGTCCTTCTCTTCTCTAGGGCACAACCCTGGCAGCAAGTATGGAACAGTATATACATTAAGTGGGAGGTCTTGGCACTAAAAATGTCTTGGTACCATCCCCCACAGTATTATAGACCACACAACATTTCTTCCCATCACAAGCACCCGAAAAAAAATAGATGCTGGAGGAAATCATGGAAAATGGAGATTTTTCAAATGCAGTCAAATATATTGTCTAAAAATAGTTTTATTTATACAGATTAAAAAGTATAACAAATTCCATATTGTCATTCCATATCAGCTACGGTATGTAAATCAAGAGATGATCATGAAATCAGGCAAAAAACGAACAATCAACGGATTGACGTGTTTTGCCCACAAGGCCTTCTTCAGGATCCACTCCGTTCAATATGTTTTTAATACTGTGTAGCCAGAGAGGATAAATGTACAGATAAAGATGAAAAAACATGACATCAATCAGAAGGAAAAAATACCACCATATAAGCAACCTCAAGGATATCACAGTTAGGAAGGCATTGTAGAACAGGACCAACCCTCAATAGTCAGAGGGACCCAAGAACTGAGATCAACAAGGGGAAATCCTCTTACATTTTTCCCACATGGTGTAGAAGAGAACAAGGATTGATTCACTGTATCAAAAAATGTTCTCCAAACTGAATATTCACATGCTAGATCAAAAATGGTGCATAGTGGTGGCACTGCGCATCGTGAATGGTCCCCCAGTCCTCTGGGACCTGTCACATGTCCCAGAAGACTGCGGGTGAAGGAGAACTTCCAATCGTCTAGGCAATCGCAGCAGAAGTGAGAGCAGGTACTTGTCAGAAGTACCCTCTCCCAAAAGGTGCCAGTCCTTAACAGGGAGCAGGGGACGAGGTCTTAAAGTGGAACTTCTACCTTTGTGTGAAGCTTTAAGGCCTACACTGTGACCAAGGCAATCTGGAGACTTCATCTCAGCTTCAGCTTGACTCTGATATTAATTCTTCCCGGAACATCCCCTGTGTGTCTTACCTTGAATGTCCCTGCAACTTTAGAGGTGATCCTATGGCCCCTCACTGAGCAAGAATCATCCAGGACTTCTTAAGGCTCCTCCTGAGCCTTGGAAGGTTTAACGGCATTTCCAGACCTGGTCACTCTTCTGCTGACAAAGGACCCTGCTACTCCCAGTTCTCCGCCTTGTATATCCCTTGCAACCCCCTGCTGGTCATTCTTCTCCACCAGGGACTGGCTGCGACTGAGCCAGCCTACAAAGAGGAATAGAGTAGCTGGCTTAGATGGAAATGAGGAAGCAGTAGAGATGAAAACAGGAATGGGATCAAAGAAGAAAATGAATGGATATAGTGGAAAGGAATAGGAAACGTGGGCTGTCTTTTACATGACAACGTTGTCATTTTATTTTTATCTCTGTGTTAGGTAGAGGTCGTCTGTTGTTCAATTGTGTTTAATTTTATTTAATTTTGTGAATAAACATTATTTTTCTAGCTTCTGCCTGTCAAAACTGGGTACCTGCTTCCCCACCAAAAAAAGAAAGGGGGGGTAGCAGGGGCGGACTGACAACTCAAGGGGCCCCGGGCAATAGGGGATCATGGGGCCCCTGTGTCCTCGCCCAAACTCAAAAAAGCCTATAAAAAAGGTACCAGGGGCATCTCATGAGGCCCCTTACTGACCCCAGGCCCTCGGGCAGTGCCCGAGTTTCCAAATGGTCAGTCTGGGGGGGAGGGATAAGAGCAGAACTCTTCTTTTGTGTGAAGTTCTGCTTTAAAGATGCCAGTTTCCCTCTGGGCAGGCAGAACATTGCACAATAGCTGAACTAATGTCCAACTCCACACAAAAGTGGTAAATTAAAATCAAATGCTGGCTTCTGATATTGAGATACCATCACCGGAATTCACAGTTCTGCCCATCTGCTGTAGCCATAACATGGACTAGGGATGAGATTACTTTTGGTCCAAATCCTATCTTATCCTTAACAAAGACAATTGATGGTGTCATGCTCATTTCTAACAAAGACAATTGATGGTGTCATGCTCAACCCTAACAAAGACAATTGATGGTTTTGTGCTCATCCCTAACAAAGATAATTGATGGTGTCGTGCACATCCGTAACAAAGACAATTGATGGTCTCATACTCATCCCTAACAAAGACAATTGATGGTGTCATGCTCACCCCTAACAAAGACAATTGATGGTGTCATGCTCACCCCCTAACAAAGACAATTGATGGTGTCATACTCATCCCTAACAAAGACAATTGATTGTGTCATGCTGACCTGAAACAATGTAGAATAAATAGGTAATTTGGGAATATGGCTTAGAAAGACTGAAACCAATGTAGAGGGGGAAAGGGAATCTATTCCCGGAAAGTCTCACCATTGGAGTGATTTCCCTTTTCTTGGTCAAGTTCCACTTTAAGGATGCCAGATTCCCTCCTGATTTCTTCTGTTTTTGCAAACCAAGCAGGCAGAACATTGCAGAGTGACATGAGCATGAAAGCTGTATTAATGGCCAACTCCACACAAAAGTGATTAATTAAATCCTATTTTGGCTTCTGATATTGAGATACCATCACCACCACCACAATTTACAGTTCTGCCCATCTGCTGCAGCCATAACATGAATTAGGGATGAGCTTAAGTTCAGCCCAAACCCGACCTCATCCCTAACAAAGACAATTGATGGTGTCATAATGAAATTATATAATGTAGAATAAGTAGGCCATTGGGGAATAAGGCTTTGAGAGACTTTGAGAGACTATTCCTGGGAAGTCTCACCATTGGAGTGATGGAAGAACCTGGTGCGCCCACATCCTCCACTGTTTCCATTGTGGGGATAACACAGATAAATGAACATGAAAGGGAGGTTGTGACTTTAGCATAGCTGTGGTAGCTCTTGAATAAATAGGTGATTGGGGAATATGGCTTAGAGAGACTGAAACCAATGTGGAGGGAGAAATGTAAACTATTCCTGGGAAGTCTCACCGCTGGAGTGATGGAAGAACCTGGTGCGCCCACATCCTCCACTGTTTCCATTGTGGGGATAACACAGATAAAGAAATATGAAGTGATACAATGTAGAATAAATAGGTGATTCGGGGAACATGGCTTCAAGAGACTGAACACCAATGTGGAGGGGGAATGCAAACTTTTTCAGGGAAGTCTCACCATTGGAGTGATGGAAGAACCTGTTGCGCCCCCATCCTCCACTGTTTCCATTGTGGGGATAACACAGATAAAGGAACATGAAGGGGGCGTTGTGAGTTTCGCATAGCTGTGGTGTTTCTTGGATACAATTTGCAGTTCCTTCATTGATTTCACTTGTTTGAAATTTCTGTTGAATTACTTTTATTTCCTTACAGACCTGCAACTCTCAACTCAGATCACAGACTATCCAGCCAGTGGCAGGAAACACTGCAACCTTTCTGGATGCAGGTAAGTCATCTCATGTACACAGTTTTGTCAAATTAAGTTTACTTGTTCCTTCAGACACATATACTAAAGCCCAACAAAAGGAAAAAACTTTTTTTTTTTTTTTTTTTTTTTTTGAATAATGTGGGGAGAGGGTTAACGCTTCTGTCAAGATGTAACTGCTGTCTGTTTCTTTTTGGGGGAGATTTTCCCTCACTTCCCGTTCTGTATGACAGCTGTCACCTGACCAGGGAGTAAGGAGAAACGCCCCAGAGGGGGCAACGCAATAAAAGTCTGCAGAGGTTCTAACCTTTCAGCAACATAGTAAAAAGTGTCTTTATTGCTCGGTGTGTCCCGTATATTTAACAGACTAAAAAAAATGCAAATTGCCCATTGTTAGGGATTGTTGTCAGAGCTTACAAACATTTAAACTTCTATGGTGAACACAACACAATGATTTCAGCCTACAGTCAATGTGAATATTGTATGAGATCTCCAGAGGAATGGACTTTAATGGTTTTCTGTCTCTCCAGTGACTGCGTCTGTACCCTGTGGAGGTGATTTCTGTGCTGATGATGAGTATTGTGACTATAGTGATACCTGCCGGTGCAACAGAACTTCCTATACAT